GTATTAGTTCATTATTGTAAAAATCAACGAAAGGTTTATATATGAAAGGAAATTTTATTGGTTATCAGGGGTGGGAGGGAGGGGAGGGAACACTGCAAAAAAAAAAAAAATGCACTGTCCCCTATCACTTTAGTTTTGTGTATTTCACCATACATAAATTACATTTCAATGAAAAAAAAAAAAAAAAAAAACCTCCAGAAGAATAAAAAGAACATACAGATTGGGAAAAAATATTTCACAATTACATATCCAACAAGGGATGTATCTTTAACATTTATAGAAAACTCCAACACCTCAACATCAAAACACAAATAATCCAGTCAAAGAATGGGGAAAGGATATGAACAGATACTTCACCCAAGAATATATTCAGGTGGCCAGCAAACACATGGAGAAATGCTTGTGATCATTAGCCATTAGAGAGATGTAAATCAAAACAATGAATTATCATTTCATTCCAGCAATGATAGCAGAGTTCAATAGGACAGAAAACAACAAATGCAACAGTGTAGAGAGATTGGAACTCTCATACACTGCTAGTGGGACTGTAAAATGGTACAACCACTGTGGAAAATGATCTGGTACTTCCTTAAAAAGTTGGAAATAGAAATACCATTTGATCCAGCAATCTCATTACTAGGAATATATCAAAGAGTTGAGACCTGGGACACAAATAGATATATGCACACCCGTGTTCATCACAGCACTATTAGTAAAGAAATGGAAACACCCTAAGTGCCCATCAACAGATGAATGGATAACCAATCTATGGTACATACACACAATGGAATGAAGAATCAGTGAATCACCTCATGGATGAACTTGGAGGAAATTCATTATGCTGAGTGAAATAAGTCAATCACAAAAGGACAAATATTATAGGATTCTGTTAGGCCAAAGTAAACCCAAGCCACCAATATGTCAGTTGGCAGCTTCCTCCAGGTGTCAGGCCCTGAAGAGACAGCCTGATAAGACAACCGAAGTGACAGAACCCGCCCAGGCTGGAAAGTCCCACGCAATGGCAAACTTCCTCCTGTGAAGCCCCCTCATGCTAATTAGGTGCAGACCTGTGCTAACAGCTAATTGGACCCTGTCATTTCCTTGTAGGACCCTGTCATTTCTTTAGTGTCCCCAATTAGGTCCTCTCTGTGTCTATAAGAATCTATCCCCCCTGCCTGGGGGTGCGACTTCTCTGGCCTTGATGCTAGGGCACGAGAACCTCACCCGGGAGTGCTAATAAACTGCTTCTCTGAAACAACTCCGTGTCCTGGTGTCTCGGCAGCTCTGTTTTACAGATTCGTTATTGTAAAAAGTCAAGGGAAGGTTTACCCAGGGAAGGAAATTTTCTTTGTTGGTTACCAGGGATGTGAGGGGTGGGGAAGGGAGGGTAAATTGATTCGTAATTACAGACAGGTTTGACATAGGTGAAGGGATTTAAACAATTGTAATAATAGTAATAATAATAAAGAAATAAGATTAGCCATTAGTTGATAGTTTTGAAGCTAGGTTATGGGCCCATGGGGGTTCATTGTACTAGTTCTTGTTTCTGTTGGAAATAGTTTAGTAAGGGGAAAAAAACAATGCTAATCATTATTAGATCTGTGAAAACCCCAACAACTTCCCTATAGCCTGGATTTCTTCAAGCCATGATGTTTCACCCTTTGCCATACCTACTTGATTTGTCCATTACCTTCCACTTTCTGTACCACAATGCTAGCCAGACCCTTCTCACTTCATACGTAGATGACTGACAATAACAGAATTAGTTTTTCTTTGTTTCAGTCTATGCTTTGCCTCAGCATTCTCACCACTGCCTACCCCTGCCACCCCAAAACATTCTGCCCTGCATCTTGGTCAGTCCAAACTTCTCTATAATCTGCTTTTGTCATTTTCTCCTTTCAGGAGCCACAGTAATGCTTTATCCTCTCCAATACAAGTTTCTCTGCCAGTTTCTCCAAAACCTGGCCCTGCTAGTCCCTTCCACATCACTTCCCAGTGGGAATTCAGACCATACATACTAACACTGTCGATGGAGATGACACTAAAATGACCCCAGGTTGTGTGGTAGTGGTGGGAGCAGGTGTGCTAGCACTGCAGTGCACAGGGTTACCAAGGCAGTGGTGTCACTAAGGTTATTGTCACCTGAGTTACCAGCATGGTAACTCATCACCAATACGAACTCCTCCATCACCCAATGCAGTAACTTATCACCTCCCTTACCTACCGGTCAGGATCAGGGTTGAGGTGTGGGGTGAGTGGCACCCACCATTGGGTGCATTGGGTGTCTCTGCCTTGGCCAGTAGGAGTGAGGAGAAACTGCAGGGAGTCAGTGGGTTGGGGAACAGGAGGGGCAGGGCTCGTGGCATGGTGTTCAGTATTGTGTGGGAGCAGGGAGTGTTTGCTGGCTGGCCCCACCGATGGGAGGTGTGTGACACCTTGAATTCCTGCACTAGGTAAACCAAGCATAGTCACTTCCCACTCCTTACTTACCATCCCTTCTTGTCAAGCCAGTCTCATTGTTAAATCACAGTCATACCTCCTGCCTTTGCTAATATGAGAATCCTTTCTCCTCAAAATAACAGAGCATCCTCATGGCCTGGGAATGTAATTTTACTGTTGAGACATCTACCAAAAAAAAAAAAAATTTCATCAATAATTTACTGTTTTTGCTTTTACTTTCCTACCATGGAAACAACCTCAGGTTATTCTCCAAATTAAAAGAAACATTACAAATAGAAAATGTTTGCCTTAAAAAATAATAATAATTTCTTTTTCAATTGAATATGATTTTCAGTTTTGATAGATTAATAAAATGGGCCTTAAGTAAACTGTGTTTCTAAACAAATAATTGAAGAGCTTG